GCCCCAGCACCGCTAGATCGGGCGCACGGCAAACCGTCTCCGCCCAAGACTCTCCGAAGCCCAAGGCGCCGCCCCAGAGCCCATCCTCTGCCTCGCCTTGAACCCCGCCCCCCCCCCCCCCGCAGCGCCCCGCCCACCCCGGCCCCGCCTCGGGCAGCTTGCTCTGTACAATGGCAATCAGGGCGCGGGCCCCATACGAGTCGCCCGCGGCACCCGCGGTCGGCGTCAAGGAAGGCGAAGAGAGCGGAGCAGCAGCGGAATGCGCGGGCGCAGCGATGACGCCGCTGGCCCCCCAATTTCAATATGCAGTGAAAGCGAAATGAAATCTCTCAGTTTGGCGCGAGTTCTTCCCGCGACAATGCGATGCCCTGGACTCCGCTCCGCCGCCGCGGCCCCAAACAGCGCCCCCGCCCGTCGCGGCCTCTAGGGCGGGCCCGCTAGGCGCGCCAAATCGCGCAAAGGCTCCGCGACCATATTGCGATAGTCGCGGCGGCCACTGACCCGCTTGAGAATTGAGGAACGGGGGGGAGACGCAGCCACCTTCTCAAGGCAACGCTTATACCGACCAGCTGGGCCACGCGCGTCGGGCACGCGCGCGCCCGCTATGACAGAGCATCTAGGAGGACCAGACAACTTCACCAAACTAACCATGCCTTCCCTAGCAACCATGCAACTGCGCAGAGAGCCTCGGGGGCCCCGAAGCGGCGCGGTGAGGCGCCGGGCGGTGACCCCAGGATTCTTCTGGCCAGGCACGGTTTCCATTCAAGGCCCCTCCAGAAGGGTCCGCGGCGGGGTTCGAGCGAATTCCAACCCGCGCCCACGAACGACGAAGGGGTCCACAGCAAATCAGGAAGTCCCGAGCCAATATGCTACCACTGGCGCTGTAATACCTCGCCCTCTGCTGTAGCGGCGGCTACGCCCTGAGAGCCCACCGCGGCGCCTGCGCGAGAAAAGCATGACCGCTCCAAAATGCTAGCGGCACTGAGCTGCCGATTTTTCCGCGGACGAACAGGTGGCCACGAACCTGTTGCGCCACGGCATGCGCGGCGCCGGTCACGGGGGGGCGACAGCTCGAATGGCGAAATTATGCACCTCATGCTGCGCGATCTTGCATTTAGCGCCCTTCGCCCTGACCTCGCGCAAACGCCACCCGACGGATGCCGGCCCCTGCGCGGCGAACGCCGCACCTGCAACGCAGCGATTTCAACATGTTGGAGCATACAAGGATGCCGTCTCAGTCTCATCCGGTAGCTCCCGTCGGGGGGCCGAGCCGTGCTGACCCGACTCCGACCCAGGGGGGTCAACGACGCGGAGCGCGGCAGTGGCTAGGGACCGCGATGGGCGAGGCGGGCACTGGCTAGGACGGGGGCCGGGACAGGGCGGCCACGAAATTCTGGAAATGTCACCGCACCGTTTTGGGACCTGGGGTCACCGCGCGGACTCGTGACTCGTCGACCCATCGACGCTCGAGACATCCTCCAAAAAACACCTGAGTTCCCAAACTAGGCGGCGACCCGTTTCAATTTGTTGTCTCGGGATTCCGTGCTGGCGGAACCAGGGGCGCGGAGCAAACTCCTGCGGCGGCCTAGGGCCACCCCCAAGGGCCACCTCCGAAGAGGTGGCGGGGCCAAAGGGGGCGACTGAGCGACCGACTGGGCGCGCCACGACGGGGACATGCGCTCTCGCGGGGCATGCGCCTCGTCGAGTTGCCCTTCTGGCCACCGCCGCTGCCATTCTATGCCGCTCGCTCTGCTCTCAGGAAGGAGGGGGCGCTGAAGCGGAGGAAACAGGACGAGGTGGAGGAAAAAGGACGATCAGAGGAGGGGCGGGAAGGGGGGAAAGGAAGGAGGAGAGAGGGATAGAGGAGGATAGGGGGGACGAGGGAGATAAAGAACATGAGAGCTTTGCTTGCTCCGCGAACCTACGTTGCATCCAACCGCCCAGCGGGGGGCGCCCCAGGATGAGCACCAGAGTGCTCTCACAACGCACGCCGGCATACTCGCAGCGATCTCATCCAAGATGTCGCCACACTACTGCATCAAAACCCGAAAACGACAAAACCATGCGCGCAGGGCAAAGCGCAAAGTGCCTGAGCCCCGCGCTACATGCGACCACTGGGGCCCAAGCTGCGCGAACGACTGAACCATCCAGCGCGCGCCAAACTCACCGCGCCGTGCTCTCGCCGCACCGTTTTGGGATTTCCAAGAGCCGAACGGACATGAACGCAGCAATCTGCGGGGGATCTCTCCGGCAGGAGAGCACTTCGCGAAAATGGGTTCACAGTTAGGCGCATAGCCATCTCCATCAGGGCCCTCTTCAATCGAGACCACCAGACGGTATGGATTACCCGCATCACCCAGCCCAACACGACGCCGAACGTGCCAAGAATAACCGACCCTCGGGATCGCCGCCTCTTGCAAAATATCCTTCGCCATGTCTCCCACATCCGCCGACTCCTCCTTCGCCACCTCAATCATCCCCAACAACTTTCTGTTAAACTCAAATTCTGCCACCCCGCGATCCTGGATAGATCGCGGTAAAGACTGTTCCTGGATGGTTTTTCCAACTGGGGGGAACTCTCAACTGTTTGCCTTGCTGGGTCAGCATGAGCTAGTTCTTTGTACAGCGCAGAGCTCTTATCAGCTTGGATCAGCTGCCCGTGGGTGTCCCGATATCTGAGAGAGCGTGATCCACCGCCTATTTACTGTGGAAAATTCCTCCCCTCTTCCTCCGGAACCCAGGCCCCCCCCTCCGAAAATCCCCCCCCCTGCTGGAACCCCTCCCCCCCCCACCCCTCCCCTCCCCAAGCACCCCCCCCTCCCCTAACCGCTCCCCCCCCTCCCTCCCCCTCGAAAACCGGGGGGGCCACTACCGGTTCGAAACCCCCCTCTCCCCCCCCGCCTCGAAAACCAGAGGGGGGTCACTACTGGTTCGACCCCCTCCCCACCCACCCCCCTCACCGCCAGCAAACGACTCCCAGTCCCTGCCACCGTCCGCACCGCATCCCCCACTGTTGTTCCAGCACCACTGTCCTCACCACCACTGTCCCCACTGGTTCCACCACCGTCCCTACTGTCCCCACCAGTGCCCCCACCACCGTCGCACTGTCCCCACTGTGCCCACCACTGTCCCCACCACGGTTCCACTCTTCCCACTTTTTCCACGGCCACAACCACTGCCCGACTATCCTCACTGTCCCCACTGTCCCACTGACTCCTCCGCTGTCCCACTGAGCTGTCCCACTGTTCCCACCACTGTCCCCACTGTCCCCACCACTGTCCCCACTGTACCTCTGTCCCATTGTCCCACCGCCGTCCTCGCCACCGCCTTCACCACTGTCCCCACCACCACTGTACCCTCCACTGTCCCGCTGTTTCCACCACATTCCCACTGTCCCCACACCAGTGTCCCCACCACCACCGTCCCCACCACTGTCCCACTGTCCCCACTGCTCCCACCATTGTCCTCACCACTGTCCGCACCACTACCGTCCCCACCACTGTCCCACTGTCCCCACCACTGTCCCGATGTGCCCTCACCACTGTCCCCACCACCACCGTCCCCACCACTGTCCGCACCCCACCCCAGTTTTCGCAGGGGGGGGGGAGCTCGAACCGGTAGTGACCTCCCCCAGTTTTCGAGGGGAGGGGGGGGGGTCGAACCGGTAGTGACCCCCCCCCCTTTCATGATGGACTGAGGGGGGTGGAGGGGGGGAGGGGTTCGAACCGGTAGTGACCCCCCCCCCCCGGTTTTCTGGAGGGGGGGGATGGAGGGGAGGGGTTCGAACCAGTAGTGACCCCCCCCGGTTTTCCGCCAGCAGCGGTAGAACACGCTCTTTCCGATATCTGTATGTTAATATATGACACACCACGACCAAGCTGAGTAGTCAAAGTATCATCCACCGAAGAGAACGGCTGGATGAGACTGTTCAGCGCCTCGAACGAGTCTGCATCTGGGGGCGCGGGGCTGGCAAAGGTGGTGCCGTCATCACTGGCACTGTCTGCACTGCCCGCGCGAGAGGTGGGGGGCCCAGGCCACGGCATGGCCTGTCGCATCGCCTCCATGGCTGGACGGGGTGGCGGCCGCCGCGAGCAGGGAAAAAACTGCCGCCGAAGGCCAGGGGGCGGGCCACGGCCCGTCTTCGGTGCCTGGCCACCAGACGCCTCAAGGGAAGCTCGCCAGAATGATCTGAACCAAAATTGCTACGGAACGGGGGGGGGGTAAGGGAGGAGGAGGAGGAGGAGGGGGAGGAGGAGGAGGAGGAGGAGAAGGAAGAGGAGAAGAAGGAGGAAGAGGAAGAGGAGGAGGAGGAGGAGGCGGAATGGAAGAGGAGGAGGAGGAGGAGGAGGAGGAGGAGGAGCAGGAGTAGGAGGAGGGGGAGGAATGAAGGAGGAGGAAGGAAAGAGGACGGAGGGAGGAGGAGAGGAGCGAGGGCGGGAAGGAAGGGGGGAGGGAGGGAGGAGGGGACTGGCCACAAGGGCACGGCCATCCCAAGACGGCGGTGGGCGTGGTGCGATGATGACGGGCATCCCAAGACGACGGGCCAACGCGGTGCGACAGAGGAGGAAGAGGAGGAAGAGGAGGAGGAGGAGGAAGAGGCGGAGAAGGAGGAGAAGGGCGCCACTGTCGGACGATGCTGCCAAAGCCACCGCTGGAGCCACTGCCGGCCCCGCTGCCCCCGCCAGGACCACACATCCCATGTCCAGCTTTTGTTTCGGTACGGGGCCCACAGAGTTCGGGGTCCCCATAAACGGCCTCCAGGCCCACAAGCGGAAAACCTTCGCCCTCATTCTTCAAGCCGTCGGACGTCTGGGGAGGGAAAGGCGCCCGCGACGACGACGGCGACGGCTACGACGACAACGGCGGCGATGACGACGGCGGCGACGGCGACGCCCTCGCCCTCGTCGCGAGGAAGACGGCGAGCGGCGGAGACGCTCCGGCCCCGAGCCGCTGCCGCTGCCGGCGCCACTGCGCGGTGCCAGAGGGCAGCAGGCGGCCGCCTCGCGGTCCGCGCCCACGTCGCCCGAGCCCTGTCTCCCGGGCGTCGGCGCGCCTGCCCTGCCGCCCTCTCGGCCTGCCGGGGGGACGGCGCGGGCGGCGCGGGCGGTGGGCGGGGCGGCCGCGGGTTGGTGGAGGAGGAGGAGGAGGAGGAGGAGGAGGAGGCACGGAAGGCACGGAAGGCACGGGGCACGGGGAGGAGCACGAGGAGGAGGATGAGGAGGAAAGTAGAAGATAGGAGGGGATAGGACCGATCGCGAAGCCATGCGACATCAACGACACTCGGGCTCGGAATCAGGCTGCCTGTGTTTGGGCGATGTGTCCGAGGAGCAGGACGATCGGGTTACTGTCCCGC